CAAGAAGCGTCGAGAGCAGTCTCGAGACGTGGCTGTTGCTAATCGACCTGGTCAAGGCGTTCGACCGTGTACCGCGCGAGCTGCTTTGGCGCGTGATGCTGAAGCAGGGGTGCCTCCCAAGATCGTCTCGCTGCTGAAGGCGCTGTCGAGGTGAGTGGCGTGAAGAAGGTGATCGACTCGATTATCGGCGTCAAGCAGGGCGACCTGCTCGGCCCCGAGCTGTTCATCTTCTTCCATGGCGGTGGTCATGGAGACGTGGCGCCTCCACCACGACTTCGAGCTGTGCGTCGTCCGCTCGAAGAGCGATTTTGTCCTCACCGGTCGGCGCCCGTCTACCGTCGGCGATGCCGAGTTCTCCCTCAGAGACTCCATGTACGCCGACGACGCGGGCTACCCCCCGACACCTAAAAGGACGAGTATGAGACTGCTCTCGCCTGCGTGCTCTCGCGCCGGCAGTCCGGCGACATTGTGATTATCTGTGCTGACACTAATGCAAGCATCGGACGCGGCTGCCTTGGCGCGGGCCAAAATGCCGACTACGGTGCGGTTGGCCCCCATGGTATCAACTTTCTCAACGACTCTGGGCGCCGCTTGCGCTCGTTCATGGAGCTGCACGACCTTGCTGCGCTGTCTTCGTTCTTCAAGAAGCCGTTTTACGGGACGTGGCTGCACCCGTGCAGTAAGCTGCAGAAGCAGCTGGACCACATCATGATCTCCCGATGCGACGTGAAAAGATTCACAGACGCCGGGGCATGCTGTGGACAGTTGATCGACAGTGACCACAGTGCTGTCTTCTGCAAGCTGCGCTTCACGGTGCGGCTCCGACGCAAAATCGAGCCGCGTGCTCAGCTCGCTCGACTCGACACCGCGCCGTTGCTAAACCAGGACCGGCGGTCCAGTTCGCTACTGATGTGGTGGCGAGCCTCGGCAGATCCGACGCCTCGGCCGTATCGTACTCTACACTGGCCAAGGCGGTGAAAAAGACCGCTGCCGAGACGCTCCCCAAGCTTGAGCGTCCAGCGCCGCTATGGTTTGCGGCGAAGGAGGGCGTTATGCGTGCACACATCGTCAACCGCAACGCCACTTTCAGCGCCCATCAGCGGCAACCGAGGGGCGACGGCGGACACTTACTGCCGCTCGATATCGAGAGGCGCGCTCACGCGTGCAGCTCGATGATATAGGAAGGCGAAGGACGTTCGCGGACTGGCACCAAGAGAGAGAGAGAGAGAGAGAGAGAGAGAGAGAGAGAGAGAGAGAGAGAGAGAGAGAGAGAGAGAGAGAGAGAGAGAGAGAGAGAGAGAGAGAGAGAGTTTTAGAAGCCAACGCGGAGAAACGAGACTGAACGTATGGTGCCAATGCGCGCCTTTCCAGCAGCTTGCCCTTTACGGGCACGACGAGCGACTGGGCACACAGAAGAAAATTGGAGATTGAGAAGAAAAGACGTTGAACGCAAGAAAAAAAGGCGTGTTTGCTGTTCAACTCAACTAGCAGAGTGCCGGCGCGAGAGTTCTCAAGAGACGAGCCTCTCTCAAAAAGCAACGGGTACGACGAGCGCGGTGACTGGGCACACAGAAAGAGAGCCTTAGACTCCCAAAGAGCGAAACCAAAGAGCAAGAAAAAGAAACGCAAGCGTTTCAAAGCGCTCAACGACACGGCCTGCGGACAAATATGTCGGGCCTCGTTGACGAGAACACGAACGTTTCGCCCAACTGCCCGTCGCCGCCGGCCGCCCCGGCGGCGCCGGCCTACTACTCGATCAACCCGGCCCTCTTCGACTCCAAGGAGTACTGGTCGTACCGCGACCTGCAGCGGCTGTGCAAGCGCCTCAACCTCAACGCCTCTGGCCGGCGCGAGAGGCTCGTGGAGGCGCTGCAGGAGTGGCACCGCGAGTCACGCCGGCTCGACCAGAGCGGAAAGTTCCTCGGCGTCGAGGCGGTCGCGCAAGCTAGCATGTCCCGCCCGCCCGCTCCTCCCCTCACGCCCCGCTCCCCGCCCCGCTCTCCACCAGGTGCGCGCCTCGCCTGGCGGCCGCGCGATCAACCCGCAGCTGGTCTCGCCGCTGAAGCCGGCGCGGCAGCGGTCCACCGAGGAGATACCCTCGCCCTCCATCCTTTCGGAGGGCCGCCGCGCCCAAGGCCTCTGCCCAAAGCCGTCGCCGAAGCTCGTCTTTTCGCCCTTCAACCAGGTCAAGCTCATTCCGCCAAAGGAGCAGACCGAGATGTTCGGTCGGTACAGAGAGCCCGACTACGATGACCTCGAGTCGGAGGATGACGACAACGAGCTCGACTCGGACGAGGACAATGAAGTCCTGAGGCAGTCCCTGCAACGGGCGAGGATGTGAGGGCCCCGGGTTGCACAGCCGCCCGACTATTGAGCTCGATTTGAAGGGCTCGCCGCGCTCTGCTCGGATTGAGTGGAGCGCCCTGAGGTCTCGGTGGGGGAGCGGATCTCCCACGAGATCGTTGTGAGATCTTCTTCAGATGTGCGGCGCTCTTTCTGAGACACACCTCGGTCGCGCGAGGTGACTCTCGCATCGTCCGCGTGATGGCGCCGCGTTATAATCGTGCGCGATGTCCGATGTCGTGGTGTACGATCGAACGAAATACTGACGTATATAGCTGTTTCGTTTTTTAATTTCCCACGGGGGCCACGCCCGACGCCGCACGCCCACGCGCGGACGCGCCGCCGCCGGCGGCGCGCGGCGCGCGCAGTCCGCAGCAGACGGGGTCCGGCGTCCGCAGCGTCCAGCGTGCTCGTGGGTCGACCTGATCGCCCCCTCACAAATATCTGGCTGGTGGTTCTGTTGGCACTCATTCCGCGGTTTGCGTCCCCCGAAACAACGGACTACAGGAACTGCGCCCGTAGGGCAGCGTCTGCCCACCGCGTCCGGCCCACTTGAGCCGCGGTGAGCAGACTCCCGGGAGCGAAGCTGCCCACCGCCCGGCCGACAGCCTTGATCCTGCCGTCGGGAGCTTGCGGCCGCGTCGGTGAAGCGTGCGCGCTCCATGCCTTTTCTGCCGCGTCCCGCGTGAATGTGGCTGAGCGGCTGAGCGGCGGTGGGGCCTGCACGGCTGCTCGCGAATTTTCCACCCACATCTGAACGGACTGCTCACCACCTCTCGGTGGCGTAAGGGCGGCCGAGGAGGTGGAGACTACCCGCGGGTGCGGGACAGCAGTGGTCGCCCCCACCGACGCTGCGTTCGAGCGGAGGCCCCTGGCGCCTCGACCGGCACCGTCGCTGTGCCAGTCTTGCGATGGCCTCGGGGCCTTTGCTGGTGAGGGCGCGGGTGACGCACTCGCTTTGAGAGGCTCACCATCGCTATGCTGCGTCGGCGTCTGGGGCAGCGCCTGCGACGCCGCGAGCGCGATTTCAAGCTCCCGCGCGACCGCCTCCTCCTCCTTTAGCTGTGCCCTGAGCTCCACCAGTTGTGCACTGTGTTCGGGTGTGCCTACGCCCGTTTGATCGACCTCGTCGGCATCGCATCCAGCCTGTGAGCCTCGATGGCCGACTACGGCGAGATTGTACTCGCCGGTGGCGTCCTCGACCGCCCCGTAATCGCATACTGGCCGACTAAGGCTCCGGCTCCGCCCTCGCCCACCCTTGCTGCCACGGGTCACGACTCCACTTGCTCCGCAGTCGAAGGAGAAGGTCACGAGGCGTTCCACTGCGACGAAGGTTCCAGCCAGTCCAAACGAGACGCAGACCTCTCGCCCCTCGCTGGCGGCGTGAGCGAGGGAGGAGAGCAGGCCTCGCACTGCAACAAAGCACTGGTCCTTGCTGAGGCCGTCTGAGTGCGCAATCGCGAGTTGGTAATAGTTCATCTCGTCGCCAGGCAACGGCCGCTCCATCAAGGCTGCGGGGTGCGCGACCGACATCGGCCTCACCCGGAAGTGCTCACAAAAGCTCTCCGCGAAGACTGCCTGAGGCTCCCGCTTGGGGAGGCCGCTGGACGCGTCGACCACCTGCCAGCTCACACGCAGCAGGTTGGGCAGGTGGAAGCCTCGCCGCTGCGCAAAGCGCCTGGTCATCCAAGCCTTCAACGCCGCCCAGGCCCGAATGCGTGTCGCATCCGACGCGCACAGGTCGGCCTCGGTGAACATCGATTCGATTGCTAGCGAGGCGGTTACAGGGCGTACAGCGTACAGGCGATGAAAAGTTGTATTTTTTTGTTAGTGCCAGTGTGCGCCCAGTCCCGTGCCTAGGTGAGAGTTTTGTTCTTGAAGAGGCATTTTTAAATGACGACAAATCTCAGGAAACGGTGCACAGAGGGTGACCGAGCGCGGTTTCTTTCGCCGTGTGCCAGTCCGCGCCAGTCCGCGCCCTTGTCGTGCCAGTGTGCTGTGAGGGAGGCTGCGCCCGAAGAATTCTTTCGCCGAAGGATGCTGGTCGTCTTGGGTGCGTTCGATTTCGCCAGCCTCATCATATCCGTGGCGCCTAGCAGTCGATGCGCGCCGCCGCCCTTACTCCACGCCGCCGCCCCATCGGCCGCCGAGCTGATGCTGGTCGCGTGCAAGGTTGCGAGGCTCGCAGAGGTGCAGGAGATGCCACTTGCGCTGCGCATGCCGTCCACCTTCGCGCTGGTCGACGCCGCCTTTGAGGCGCTGCCCCAGGTCGGCGCGGTTGCTCGCGAAGGCGGTCCGGACGACGAGTGCCAGCTGTACGATGCGCTGGTGGAAGGCCTCGACTCGCGGCTCACGGAGGTGTGCGACTCGCTCGGCGGGTTGGACGGACTCACTCCGCAGCAGCGCGAGGGGCTGGTCGCCGGCGTGGTCGAGGTGCTCTTCGGCGACTCGATCCTGACCGAGCAGACCTGGGCCGCCGTCGACTCGGGCGAGCAGCCGCCGCCGCGGGAGGCGCCGTTCGCTCCGCCGCTGATCGATCCGGAGCGGCTGTCTGCGCTAGCGGGCAGCTGGGCGGAGACGCTCGAGCTCGGCGAGGGCGAGGCGCGCGAGCTGCTCGACGGCGTGGCGCGCGCTATCTCCACCTCGATGCCGTGGCCGGTCGCACGGCCGCTCGCCCGCAAGCTGTACGACGAGTCGGAGCGGCTGCACGCCCACATGCGGCTGCTGGTTGCGCAGGCGCTGCCGTTGCCGGGAGGAGTGCTGCGGCTGCCCGAGCGGTCGCGCGACTCGCTTGTCCTCGCCGTGCTCGAGGCCGCCCTCGAGTCTTGCAATCTGTACGCCCTCGAGAGTGCACTGCTCACGACCATGGCTCAGGCCCTGCTGCGCTCGGAGCACTCCGCGGGCGCGGAGGCCGACGAGCCCGCCCTCGAGTCGCGGGCACGGCTCGCCTGGCAGATCATTCAGCACGACCGGGAGGGCCAGAGGCTGCGCGACCGCTTGACCGCTATGGAGGGCGCGGGCGGCGGCTAGCGGCTCAGCCGGGCCGCTGGGATCCGCCGCGCACACCGGGTCTCGCCTCCGGGTCGGTGGAATAGGAAAAAAGCCCATGTGACGCCATGAGGGGGCCATGGCTGGCATGAGCTTTGAAGGTCTAAGATATACCGCGGATGCATCGGCATTCTCCTCGCACACAACGCCACCCCTGGCGCGCCCCACGCGTGCCCGCGACCCCACACGGGCCGCGGGCTCCCGCGTCGCTCGGGCTCGCGGCCTCGCTCTCTGTCTCTCGCCCTGCACACCCGGCTCACAGTGTGCCCTCACTCTCCGTACGCGCCCCACTCTCGGACAGCAGGATGGCGCGGTCGGATGTTCTCCTTGTCGCTCCACTCGCAGCATCCTGCGGAACGTCGCCCGGCACGCCGCTAGCCACAGGTCTCTCCCAGCTCGCCGGCCGGCCTGGTTCAGCAAAGCTGCGCGCAGGGAGTGCGGGAGGTCTCAGAGACCGCTGGTTGCGCTGGCGCGTGCGTGTGGCTCGAAAGGCACCTACCTCGAAAGGCCAAAGTCGTCGTCCTCCGGGTCGTCGACGAACTCCATCTCGATCTCGTCCAGCACCTTTCTGCCGCGCGACTTGTACTCGTGGCGCGGCCAGCAGCAGCAGCGCATCAGCCACAGAAGAATGGTGCCTGCATGGCAGGAGGGTCACATCCTGCAGACCAAGCTCACCCGCCGTCTACCAGTGAAAGCGGTGTCGAGTGCAGAGTGCAGAGCAGTCCAGAGGCGCAGAGCGCAAGCGCACAGCGCTTGACACCAGGCCTCAGGCTGTCAGACTCGCCAGCCGCCACCGCGCTCGCAGACATCTCCCTTCTCTGCTGCGGCAATCGCGGCGCGCCTGAAGTGGTACGAAAGTCTCTCCTGCCCAGTTGTCCTGCCACCAAGAACGTAGGCGCAGCGCCGCCGGCTGGGGGTCGTGAATGAGAAAATCGCTTCGTGACTCACCGAGTGCGCGCCACCCGTGCCTAGATCTAGATGGCGTCGAATTCTTCTAACTGACGATCGATGGGCGGCACGCAGGACCAGCGCGACCGCTCGCCGCAGGCGGCGAGGCGGCTGCGCGGCACGCATCGCTGCCACTCGTGCGGCTCCACGAGCTTCGAGCCCGGCCACGACGGCGGGCTCACCTGCGTGGATTGCGGCGTGCAGCTGCGCGGCTTCGTGGAGGAGCAGGCGGACGCGGGCGTGGCCGACGGCGCGCAGCTGCGCTATCGCGTGCACTCGGCAGGTGGGCCGTCGACGCTGGCCGCCGCGACAGTGCAGCCAGAGGCCGCGCTGCCGACAGTGCGGCTCGCCTTTGAGGCGTTCCAGGCGCTGCTGCTCGCGCTGCTGCGGCCGCTCGAGGAGCGGATCGGCGCGGCGGCGAGCTCGCGCGGCGGCGCCGATGGCGCGCTGCGCGCCTCGGCGCACTCGCTGTGGAGGCACACCGCGCGCCTCTTCTCCGCACGGCCGCTGGACGAGGAGGTGACGAGCCGGCGGGGCCTGCCCAAGGCTGCGGTGGGCGGCGGGCAGATCGTGCTGTCCGCGCAGCTCGCGCTCGCGGTGCTGCTGCTCGCGTGCGAGGAGGGCGCCTCCGCCGCGGGCGTCAGCGCGGCTCACCTCGTCGAGTGGTGCCGCGCCGGCCAGCTGCCGCTGCTCTCCTTCGCCCTCACCGCGCCGAGTGCGTACCTGCCGCTGGTCCGCTGGCTGCCGGGCCTGCTCCGCCCGTACGGCAGCGGCTCCTCGGGCAGCAGCTTCCCGACCGCCGACTCGCTCGCCCTCCTCGCAACGCGCCTCCGGAAGGCTCTGCACCTGCGCGCCCCGCCCGTCCGGCTGCAGGTGCTGCTCGAGTCTCTGCCCTCCACACTCACACGTCTACCCTCCACACGCCCTTCCCCCACCCCTCAGGTGCTGCTCGGCCGGCTCGCCGCGGACGCCGGCCTGCCCGCCGAGGTTGGTCGTCTGGCGGTGCGGCTCGTCGGGCGGGTGAGCGGCGCCGAGCGGAGTGGCGGCGGAGGCGGGGGCGGAGGCGGAGGCGGAGGCGGGGGCGGAGGCGGAGGCGGAGGCGGAGGCTGGCGTGGGCTGGTTGGCTTTGGGAAGGGGGTCGAGGCGGCGGTGCGGAAGCTCGCGCCGCAGGCGGACGCCGAGAAGGAGTCGGACCTCGCTCTGAGCGGGAGGGCGCAGGTGGCGGGGGCGGCGGCGCTGCTGGTGGCGGTCAAGCTGAGGTGCGACGTGGCCGCGCCGCTGCTCGACTACTGCTCCGCCGGGTCAGGGCAGGCTGCTCCGCCACTGCACCGGGAGGAGGAGGAGGCGGCGGCGGAGGAGGCGGCGGCGCAGCAAGAGACCGCAGCGGAGGAGGAGGAGGAGGAGGAGGAGGCGACGCAACGGCAGAGCGCGGAGGCGACGGAGGAGGAGGAGGAGGAGGCGACGCAACGGCAGAGCGCGGAGGCGACGGAGGAGGAGGAGGAGGAGGCGACGCAACGGCAGAGCGCGGAGGCGACGGAGGAGGAGGAGGCGACGCAGCTTGGTGGTCATGGCGACGCGGGTGCAGCGGGGGCGGATGCAGTGGGTGCAGCGGCGGACGCCCCATCCGCAAGTGGTGCCGCCGGGGAAGACTTTTGGCGTGGGCTGCAGCCGGGCCTGCTGCGAGCGCTGCTCGGCTGCCCGCGGCTGGGTGACCCGCTCCTGCAGGCGGAGGCGGAGGAGGTGCGGGCCCCGCTCCTCTCGGAGAGAGGCGCGGCTGTCGAGGCGCAGGCGGTCGCAGCGGTGCACAGGCTCGCCGCGTGGAGTCCGACCGAGCTGCTGCTTCTGCCGCCCGAGGCGCGGTGCGCGCACGCGGCGTGGGCCGCGCACGAGCTGCTCGACCCGGCCAACCGCGCCCGCCTCTTTGACGAGCAGCTTCACGAGATCAGCGACTTCGAGTCGCGCGCACGGGGCGCGCTGCAGGCGGTCGCTGCTGCGCCGCCGCCGCCGCCCCTGCCGCCGCCGCTCCCCGTGGGCGAGGAGGAGGGAGTGGCTGAGGCGGCAGGGCTACAGGAGCCCGGGCTCGGCGATGGGGGCGATGGCGACGTGTCTTCGCTCCTCGGCGGCGCGAGCGCAGCATGCGCCGCGCGCCGCTTTGTGCGCTGCGGCTCTCGCGCCGCCGCAGACGGGCCGCGTCACGCGCTAGTCGTGCGGGCGCTGGCTGCGGTGGCGGGCTGCTCCACCGCGCGAATCGAACGCGCCGCGGAGCTGCTGGAGCGGCGAGCGTTCCCGCCGGTGCGACAGAGGCGGGAGAAGAGGCAGCGTTCGGAGCCGTGGGACCCGCATCAGCTAGTTGCTTGCATGGAGGGGTGGGAGGGCTGAGAGCTTTCGTTTCTTTTTTCGCACGACACTGTGCGAGGGAGTTCGTAGTAAAATTCTGACCGCGCAAGATATAAAGGGTGGCTAAGGGCTCTGCCCGCAAGGCGCCCGCGTCGCAGACGCGGTACCATCTTGACAAATCTGCAATATATATATTATACTTTATAGGGTTGCCTAACGTTAAAAGCCGTAGGGAACTGAACAGTGTGCTAGTGTTAACAGTACGACAACAGAACAACAGTGGGGCTCCCCAACAACACTCAACAGTAGCTAACGTTGGGCCGACTGAACAACAGTAAGGAAGGCCCTGGCAGTGACCCACGACGATCTCTAGTGTCCAGTGCGGGTAATACCCGAAAATACCCGGAAATCCCAGGTATTTTCGGGTTTTACCCGATTTTTTGCCATTTTAGCCCCCCGCTACCCAGTCGCAGTCGTGCGACGTAGCGGGGGGCCACGACTACGTTTACGAAAACATAAGTAGTCCCGCGAGGTGTGAATTGGCCGCCCCAGTAGCCCCCATTTCCACTGGGGACGCTTTTTCGTGGCAAACCCAAAGTTGCGCTCGCGCGAAGCCGCTTTTGAAAGCGCGAAACGAATCTCGTCCTACCTCCCACCGGCCCCATCCACGCGGCGACTGGTACACCTTCTACTGGGATGGCAGCACGGCCGAGAAGGTCGCACGGCGCGCTGTCTTCCCGACGCTCGAGCACGACGACCACGACCCCGGCCCCCTCGCAGAGCGCATCAGGCGCGACAAGCGCGAGCGGTCCGACCGCTCCTCCGACGACTCCTCCTCCGACCAAGACTCATGCGGCACCGGCTCTACTAGCGAGGCGAATGACATATTCGACACCCTCGGCGACCATCTCGGCTACGGTTCCGACTCCGGCTCCGGCTGGTAGTCGACAAGCTGCCGAGCCCAAATCACTGTGAGTGACACATTTCTTGTTGACTTCTAAAAATCTCTCTCTAAACTAAACCAGTGCGCTCATGCTTGGCGAGGACCAATGCCGCGATGGACATCTCGCTGCAGGCGCTCGCGGCGTCGCGGGGCCGTGAGCGAGTGACCGGAGTGAGTGGGGGTTCCCCACTGCTGCCCCCGTCCTATATTGCACTTTTGTCTGTGTGTGTGGTGATGCCTTTCCCTGAGAACGCACACAACGCCGCGAGTGTAATACCCCGTGTGTTCCGCGAGTGCGTGTGCCCCGTGGTCCAAGAGACTGATTCACATGAACGGCGACTCGCGGCGCTGGTCTTTTTTCGCGATGCGCTCCGTTGACGTTTGGCGCTGCGGCGATCAGCCTGTCGCGGGCAGTGGGTCTTCACCGCCCCCTCTTGCCCTGCTGGTCTACCTCCTCGGGCCCACCGGCGCGGCGATGGGACGCGACGTCTTTCGGTTTATGGACGGGAGCGACCCGGCGCTCGGTCCACTCGTTGTCGTGACCGACTCCAGCCTCACCCGCCCGCCTCTGCTTCGCGGCCCGCCCGCCCGCTACACTTGCCGACTCCTGCAGACGCTGCCGGCAATGGTAGCCGCTCTCGCTGGCGGCGGAGGCGTCGACTTCCCAATCGACGCTCACTACTCGTCCGGCTTCGGGCTGGAGAAGCTCGAGCTGCTCCGCCACCTGCCCGTTGACGTGGAGGCGGCGGCGCTTCTCGACGCCGACAGCTTCTGTTTGGGCCGCTGCGCCTCCCTGCTGCGGCAGGCGCTGCTCGAGGCCAAGGGGGCGCAGCTTGTCGCGGTCGCGCGGACAAGCTCGCGGGTCAACCAGCTGCAGCGCGCCACTCGGCGAGGCGCCGCGCAGCTCTCCATCCCGCATCGCTCCGAGGGCGTCAACGCGGGCGTGCTCGTCCTCAACGCGAGCCGCTTCCGCGCATTCGAGCGGGCCTACTGCCAGCGAGAGCCGTGGTGGCGCTGCGCGATGCGCGAGGCCCCGCGCGGCGGCTACCGCGGCGTCGGTGGCGACCAGGCCGTGTGGAACGCGCTGCTGGCGCCGCGTCGCCACCTCTGGTCCCCGCTGCCCTGCGGGATGCACTCGGCAGTCGACGTGCTTCGGGGCGCCGCGCTCCGCCTGGCCCGCGACCTCCGCTCGCCGCTCTGCAACCGCTCCACCGGGAGAGGAGTCCCGCGATGGTCCGCCGCAGACGACTGCACGGTGGGCGTCCTGCCCTCCGACGCCGCGTTCGGCCCCGTCCCGCGCGGCCGCGCCGGCGAGCGGCCGATCGTCGCGGTGGCGCACGGCGCAGCGCGCCTCCAGGCACTGGCCCAGCTAGTCGCTGCCCTCGAGTCGACGCGAGTGGAGGGCGGCATTCCAGCCGTGAGGGCGAAGTTCGCAGGCGCGCTCGAGTCGCTCCCGTGCCGCTGCCTCGGCCACATCACGGCGGAGCAGCTCGGCGTCGACACGGAATGCAGACCCTTCTGGTGATGTGCGGGGTGTGCACACACTTGTGTGTTGTGCCAGTGTGCAGCCCCTTGGAGTGTGAAGGCGTCGGTAGCCCTCCGGTCTACTATGAAGACCCGCAGGGCTGGAGCGAAAAAAAAGCAAGCGAGTGGCCACTGTGGAAAATTTCTGTTTTTCGTCGGTTAAAAAATTCTTTTTCGAGGTCCACCCGTCATGCGGCAGGTCGCTTGCTCTGGCTCGCTGCCACCGCGGT